CGGAGGACTAGGCGGCCCGGTCCGGACTCCGCGGTGGGCGCCACAGGTGTCGGCAGCGTCCGCCGCAGCCTGGTTTGCGCTGCTCGGGGCGCGCCGAGGGGAGGTAGGGACCCGGGCCGTGTCCCCGGAGCGCAGCCCCGCGGAGTGGCGTCCCCTCCCCACCAGTGCGGTCAGGCGGCTCCAGGCGCGGCGCTGTGCCCCGCGGAGACCCGTGGGCTCCCCTGCAGTGCCACGGGGAGGCTGAGGCAAGAGACTGCTTGAACCCATGAGTTCAAGGCCACCTGGAGAGCACACTCCAGCCCCCAGATGTGTGTGCGGCTGCGCGGGGTCGTGGGACGTTTAGGAGCCTGGGGTGAGGTTAGGGGCGGGAGCGCCAGCATTGCAAGCGCAGTCCCCGGCGGGGCTGACAGCCCATGGGGTGCCTCGAGCTGCGGTTTACACGGGAGGACCTTCGCTGGTCACCACCGCGAGTCTGACTGCGACCCTTACGCCCAGCCAAGGCGAAGGACCTAGACTTAGGCAGGAGAACTGCCACTGTGAAGGCTCCATGCCCATTTAGGGGGAGCGGAGCCCCACTGCGGGGAAGGAAGGGCTGCGGCGGTAGATTCTGCCTGGTGTTACAGGTTTTCAGAAGTTGAAATAACCACACAAACATCAGAGGAGCACGCATCCTCCTTCAAGTGTGGCCTCTGGGTAGGAAGCTTGTGCACGGGGCGGATAAAACCCTTATCTGGGCCTCCTTCCCTTCCAAAGAGGCCAGGGTGCTGTCCACAGATAGGAATGCGGACAGAGCCCTGGTCCCCTGCCACGCCTCCTCTCGGTCCCCAAAGGGTGAGGAAGGAGGGTTCCCAGCGCCCTGGGAGAAATAACGCTTTTTTGGTTTAGTTTCTGTGATAGGCTTTCACTCTGCAGCCCAGCCTCACCTCAGCCTCCCGAGTGCCGGAGTCACAGGCAAAAAAAATAGCACCGCTATGAGCAGTGCATGACCATCTTTTTGCTCAAAGTATATTCTGAGCACTTACTACAAATCCACCGTTGTAGGTATTGGGGGCACCTGGTGAATGAAAGCTACCGGTAATGCTCCAGAGCTTCTGTTCTGGGAGGGAGAGGCAGGCGGTACAGTTGTGAGAGGGAGTAGGAGAAGCCTCCGAGTGATGGCATTTTGCTCACACCTGAGTGGCGAGAGCGTGCTCTTCGAGGCGCACAAGAGCCCACCCAGGTGGAAGAGATGGGAAGTGGGACGCTCCTGGGACAGCTGCAGGCTTGAGCATCGTGAGTGGTAGGAAGCGGGTCAGGGAGTGGGGGCCGACTGAGTGGGCTCGTGAAGGCTGTGGTGAGGACTTGGGAGTTATTCAGACTGAAATTGCAAGTTATAGAAAACTTTCAGCAGAGAGGAGACATGATCCGATTCATATTAAAAGCTCCTGGGCTGGATGTGGTGGCGCACGCCTATAATCCCAGCACTCAGGAGGCTGAGGCATGAGGACCACTGTGAGTTCAAGCCAACCCGAAACAAAAAAGGAAAACCCGGCCCAAAAAAAAAAAAAAAAAAAATTAAAAAGCTCCCAAGCCACGCATGGTGGGGCATGCCTGTAATGCCAGCACTCTGGAAGGCTGAGGAAAGAAGACTGAAAATTCCTGGGCAATTTAGAGACTTAACAAAACCCTGACTTAAGCCGAGTGTAGTGGTGCACGCCTGTAATCCCAGCACTCGGGAGGCGGAAGCAGGAGGGTTGCCGAGAGTTCAAAGCCAGCCTAGGCTCCAAGGCCAGCCTGAAATACATAGTGAGTCCCTGTCACAAAACAAAACAAACCAAGACCCGGCCTCAAAATCTAAAAAAAGGCTGAGGATGTCACAGAGTGTAAAGGCCCTAGGTTTAATCCCAGTACTGCCTGGCCCCTCCAAAAAAAGTTGCAAGTTGCTGGGTGAAATCAGCTGTAGGAAACAAAACCAGAAGCACAGAAGCCACTGATAGATTAGACAGAGGAACTGGAGGAGTCAAGGATGACACCTAGGCTTATGGCCTGAGCCACTAAGCAGACTGCAGTGCTGTTTAGCGCAGCGGGACCGCGGGTTTTGACTGGCTTGACAGTGGGGTCTGAGTGGGAGCTGGGTTATCACCAGCTGAGCTGAGATGCTGGTCAGGCCACCATGTGGGTGACAGAGGGCTCGTCTCTCCAGGAAAAGAAAGCTGGGGGAAGCTCTAACCTGCAATATTTGCTGATTTCTATGAGGTAAATATTCTCACCATAACTGATTTCAGGCTTCCAGCAGGTCAGCAGCTGGCAGGCAAAAGTCCTGAAGCATTTCTGTCAGTTCTCAGAGGCACCATCATTTATCAGTGAAACAAGCTTGTGAGGTTGGCAGGAATATTGCATTTGACAGATGAGAAAGAATAAGACTTAGAGAGATAAAGTGATTTATTCAAGGCCACGCGGGGTAGGTGACAAAGGGCTCGAGGCCGGGTCTCCTGATACACAGCTCACTCCAATTGCTGACTTGGTAAATTAAAGCAGCCCAAAGCAGGAAGCATGGGCGGAAATGTGGGGAACAATTTCCCCCTAGAAAGATTTAGAGGTCATGGCTCAGGTCCTTCTTTACAATTCTTACTTCCCCTTAGGATGATGTGGGGCAAAATGGGGTGAAGAGGTTTCTGGAAAAGCCCACAAACATCAGTGTGTCCTCGGGTTGCTTGTGGGGAGCTGTCACTTGTCTGTGGGGATACAGAATTGTTGCCATGTCTCCTGCAGGACAGCAGTGCTGGTCGCCTCTCATTCTGTACCAAGGTGTGCTATGGCTTTGGGGGCGTCCCCAACCAGGTGGCCTCCAGTGCCATATCCTTTTACCTGCAGCTCTTCCTGCTCGATGTGGCCCAGGTGAGTGTGGGCAGCAGCCCAGGTCCCCATTTGCATCGCCCTTTGCATGTGGTTGTGCCCTCCCGCTGCCCTTGGTGGACAGCCTTGGACCTGAGCCTCACAAAGGCCCAAGCGCAGTGGGCGACAGCGTCCACCTCATGGATGTGCACTGCAGCCTGTTCATAGCGGGAAAGAGAAGCAACGCGAACACCCTGCAGCAGAGGAGCAGGTGGAGAAGTAAATGGTAGTAAGTCCACCAAATGGGCCACTGTGCAGCTATTCAAATGCATGATCTCTACCAGGTGACTTAGTACTGTCCAAAAAATGCTAGAAGTGGAGCAGAGTATATAAAATGACCTCATTCTTGCAGAACAAGACATTTCTGAGATGTGTTTGTACGTGGGTACATGTATGCATGTGCCTATATGCGGTCAAGATGAGTTTGAAGAAAATTGTAAGGATATACACTCAGATGTTAATGTTGGCTATCGGATGGCATGATAGAGGATAGAAGATAAGCAAAAACAAATTTTTAAACCGGGCGTGGTTGTGCACATCTGTAATGCCAGCACTTGGGAAGCTGAGGCAGGAGGATCACGGCAAATTCGAGGCCACTCTAGGCCCGTAGTGAAGGCCAATGTGAACTGTATAGTAAGAACTTGTCTCAAAAAAAACCCCGAAAAATTAAAAAATAAGGTAGTCATTTCTTTGATGACCCCAACCTGCTCCCCTTAACATAAAATTATAAATGTCAAATGCACAGAAGAAATTACATGAAAGGACGATGCTCCTGCAATTGCCTCAGGATGATGGGATTTCAGATGAGCTTTGCTTAATGGTGTTTTCTATCATTCAAGAAATGATGAATGAGTGTGTCATTTATGTGGTCAGAAAAATCAGTTTGACATTTATATTGTGAAACACAATGTCCGCTCTGTCAGCTGGGCGAGGGAGGCATGCGGGTGAAGGTCCCTGAGTTTTCCCCACAGGAGACAGGACAGGGGGGCGATGGGTGTGCTGGCTGCAGCCATCCACTCCCTCCCTTGGCCTCCTTCACTCGCCTCAGAACCTTTGGGTCCTCGGCCCCGCAGCCCTCCAGCAGCCCTTTCCGCCTGGCTCTGGCTCCAGAGGGTTCCTGCATCTCCCTCCTGGGGAGTGGCCAGCCTGGGTGGTACCATGTCTGACTCTGCTGGGCCTTTGCTGTCCTCCCCTCCCTGTGGGTTTCAGATCCCCGCTGCGCAGGTGTCCCTTGTCCTGTTTGGAGGCAAGGTGTCCGGGGCAGTTGCCGACCCTGTGGCTGGGTTCTTCATCAACAGAAGTAGGAGGACAGGGTCCGGACAGCTCATGCCCTGGTGAGCAGTCCCTCGGTGCTTTGGATCCAGGAACCCAGCTCTGGCCCCGGGGTCACATGCTGGTTGCAGCCTGTCTTAGTGGACAGCCTGTGGGTGGTTGGGGATCAAGACTGGAGGAGCCTTGGGAGGACTGGGGGGGCCTGTGGGGCATTTTTGGGTCTCCCTTACCAGATGGCGCAGGGCTTGAGTCTGCATGGATCGCAGGCCCGGCCTGTGGCCCAGTGTGGTCAGGCTCAGCGGGGGCCGTGGAAGGTCTCAGAGAGGAAGTGCAACTTGCTTATGTCCCCATGTCCTTAATACTGGGAATGGTACCGCCAAGCACCCGAGTGCCCCCTCCACTACACTCACTTCCCAAGCTGGGAGCCCCAGGACCAGCGGAGGTCCCTGTCCTGGTGCTGCGCCCCCAACCTCCGCTGTGCTCTCCAGGATACTGGGCTGCACACCCTTTCTCAGCCTGGCCTACTTCTTCCTGTGGTTCCTGCCTCCCTTCGCCAGCCTGCGAGGACTTTGGTACACCACGTTCTACTGCCTCTTCCAGGCCCTGGCCACGGTAAGCAGGTGGCCTTGTTTCCTGGGCCTGGTTCTGTTGGACCCCAGTGCTGGCGTGGTTACTGTTGGGGGAAGGGGACCAAGCCAGAAGTCCACTACTGTTGCCCACCCACCAGTGCCTGGGAGCCATCCTGAGCTCTGCTGGCCCATGTGAGCCTCTGCCTCTGAGAGTCAGATGACCAGTAGAGATGGTCAGACTGGCCCTGGGTGCCAGGACGGGACAGGGTGGGTGTGGGCCTTCATGGGGCAAAGTGTGGGTACCAGGGACCATCACCCTAAGGTCTGCCAGGCCACCCCAGTTCTTCCAGGTGCCCTACACAGCACTCACCATGCTGCTCACCCCGAGCCCCAGGGAACGAGACTCTGCCACCGCGTATCGTGAGTGCAGCCCGGGGTCTGGCGGGAGCGTGCTGCCCCTGGAATCCCATGGCTGGCTTGGTCACTCGCATGTGCTCTGTCTCCAGGGATGACAATGGAAATGGCAGGGACGCTGATGGGAGCCACCGTCCATGGGCTGGTTGTGTCTGGTGCCCACGGGTTCAACCACTGTGAGCTCCCTGGGCCTGCTGCTGTCTCCCCAGACGCCGTGAGTGCGCGAGGAGGCAACGAGCCCCTCTTCGGGGTTGCCACCTCCAGGGCTGCTTCTCCACTAGCCCTTCTCCCGCTTGTCCTTTGGGTGGTTCACTGTGCCCTGATGCCTTCCCACTCCTCTAGCTGAGGGTGTGAGCCCCAAGTGCCAACCTATCTCCTCTACACCCCTGCAGGGCAGGAATGAAGCTGGGGGTGGAGCTCAGTGGTGGTTCCCTAGTACCCGACACACACACACACACACACACACACACACACACACACACACGCGCGTACGTGAGCACTGTGGTCCCTGGTGGCATCAATGCCTCCTTTCCATGCAGGAGGCACAAGGTCACCAGCAGGGGCCGTGTGTGGAAGGAGCACCCAGGCCCTTCTGGTGACTTGACGGAGGGAATCCTGCCTCTCTGAGCTTGGATGAAGGACCCTGTGTTAGTCAGCTGTTTGCCACTGTGACCAAAGCAACTTAAAGGAGGAAGGGTTTATTTTGGCCCGTGGTCTCAGAGGCTTTGGCCACTGCTTGGTGGCTCCTTCGCCGTGGGCCCGAGGGGAGGCAGAACACCGTGGCGGCAAGTGCACAGCGGAGCAGACCTCTCACCTCGTGGCAGCTGGGAGCTGAGCCTGAAGGGACCAGGGACCAGGCAGCCCCCGCGCTCCCCCCGAGTTTCCCGCCCCTCCTATACTGTCATCAGAGGAGGATCGCACTGATGGACAGATCCACTGATGAGCGCAGGGCCCCAAGGGCCAGACACCTTTGAAAGCCCCTGCCCTGAACACAAGAGACTTCAGGGGACATTTTGGACTAAACTTAACAGTCCCTCTGCTCGCCGTGGAAGTGTGCTGCCCTGCCTCCATGAGTTGGCCACATCACCCTCAGCCCACTTCTGTCCCGTCCCGCAGACTCGCCTCTACTCCATCGCGGCCGCTGTGGTTGCTGTGACTTACCCCGCGTGCATCACTCTGCTCTGCCTGGGCGTCAAGGAGCAGCCAGGTATGGAGGTGCGGTGAGGGCGTGGGAGCCAGCAGCTGGGGACAAGGCTCCTGTTGGGGCTTTAATCTGTCAAGCCAGGGTGTTACTTCCTGTATTACAGACCCCGTTGACCCAGCCTCGGGCCAAGGCCTCGGCTTTTTTGCCGGCCTGGGCCTGACAACCAGACACCCACCCTATGTGAAGCTGGTGGTCTCCTTCCTGTTCATCTCAGCTGCAGTGCAGGTACCGTGGCCAGCAGACTCCACTGCAATGACTGGCCCTGTAGGCCCTGCAGAGATTCGGGGTCCTGGCCTACCACAGCAGAGTCAGCCTGGAGTTTTACAGGAGGAACCTGAGACTGGTGCTGCAAGGAGAGACCTGGGTGGGGCTGTGGGCCTGGCGGTCCAAGGTCCTAGGAAGCTGGTGTCTGGGCTGGTTTCCCCGCGTGCCCAGTCCACGTGGTCTTAGCTGTGCGACGGGTGGCGGTGGACTGGGAATGGTGCTCATCTCTGCATCCTTTGTGAGGGTGACTGCATGATGGTGGCAGCAACCTGGGTTCAAGGTCCCAGAGGAGAAGCCAGACTTGAGACCCTGCCTTGCCTTTGACTCCTGAGTTTCTGCCGTCGCCTGCCCATGCCCACATCCTGTCCACACCCTCAGGTGGAGCAGAGCTACCTGGTCCTCTTCTGTACACACGCTGCCCAGCTACAAGACCACGTCCAGAGCCTGGTGCTAACCATCCTGGTGAGGGGCCTGGCGTCCACTGGGGTCACGAGTGACCAGAGCTCCAGTGCTGCACACTCTGGACTCTGCTTTGGCCTTAGGCACTTGCACGACAGCACAGCATGAACTGTGGCCAGGGTCAGAGTTAACTGCCTTGGCATAAGCCGGGGGCCAGGGTGAGGCTGCGCTCAGACCCAGAGGGGGCTGCTGGCTGCAGGGGCCTGGGGTGGTGACGCCATCTGCCCACAGGTCTCGGCTGTGCTGAGCACCCCACTGTGGGAGTGGGTTCTCCAGCGATTTGGGAAGAGGATGTCGGCCCTTGGCATCTGTGTGAGTGAGACAGAAGTGAGGCTGGGGCGGCAGGGTGTGCCCGCGGAGTCCGGGTCTCCTGAAGCTGGCAGGGAGGGCCGGGCATTCCCCTGCCTCTGCAGAGCCTGGCTCAGGGCCTCACTGCTAAAACGTGCTGAGCATGCGGGTGACGAGCACCCCGGGCGTGGGGAGGGACAGCTCGTGGTCTCTCTCCCCAGGTGATGGTGCCTTTCGCGGTCTTGCTGGCTGCTCTGCCCACAGCGCCCGTGGCATATGTTGTGGCCTTTGTCTCTGGCGTGAGCATTGCTGTGTCCTTGCTGCTCCCCTGGTAGGTGGGGGAGGCGGGAGAGGGTCTCTCCCTCCGTGTCCCTGCTGTCCTAGGCTCCTAGATCCAGCCTGGCGGGAGAAAGAGGCCCTGTGAAAAGGGCCCCCATGGCAGGAATGACTGGTGCAGGCCGAGCACACGTCTGCTGTCTGCAGGCTGGTCCTGGGCAGAGGGAGTGCCAGCTCAGTCTCTGTCCCTAGAGAGCTCACAGGCAGCTGTCAAGGTCAAGGTGATAAGGAGGGCTAATTCTACGTGCCTCTCCCAGGTCCATGCTGCCAGATGTGGTGGACGACTTCCAGCTGCAGCACCGACACGGCCCAGGCCTGGAGACCATCTTCTACTCATCCTACGTCTTCTTCACCAAGCTCTCGAGCGCGTGTGCCCTGGGCATCTCCACCCTCAGTCTAGAGTCAGTCCCAAGGGCGGGGAAACCCAGAGGCACAAGAGACCAGCAGGGTGGGAAGAGGAGGCGGAGCCACCCTAGCCAGTTTGGGACGACCGTGAGCCTGGGCATGGCTGCGCACTGTGGCATGTGGGGACCTCCCCTTCTGGTGCACACGGCGAGGGGCCTCTCCTGGGCAATGTCCCCCTTCAGAAGCCCCGGTTCTCATGTTCTCAGCTCTCTGAACTCGCTGGTGCTCTTGACCTGCCCTCTTCCATAACTAGGCTGACCCGGCCCAGAAATGAAGTCAAATCTCAGGAGTGGGTGGGTGCTCAGCAGTCCCTGACTGGACAGCGGGGTGTATTTCTCCAGGTTTGCAGGGTACAAGGTGGGAGCGTGCAAACAGGCAGCCGAGGTGGTGGTCACCCTCAAGGTCCTCATCGGCGCCGTGCCCACCTGCCTGATCCTCACGGGTCTGTGCATCCTCATGGCCAGCCCCACGCCCCAGGTGCCAGGCCAGGACAGCTCCCAGCGGCACAGCCTCCGGAGGTGGGCACCCCATGCACCTGGTACCCACAGGCAGGGCTACCAACCCCAGGGAGATAAACAGAGACGCACTGAGGCCTGGGCGGCCAACACCAGCCCTCAGATATGCTGCGCAAGCAGGCAGTCCTGCCTCGGGGAGCCTCTGTCCTTAGCTTCAGGGACACCATATGCTTCTGGGTCTTCTACTGTCTGCCCCCGACCCCAGTCATCCTCCTTGAGACCTGGTGGGTGGAGGTCTCTGAGGACTCCTTCTGGGAGCCCTACTCATTTGCTCTCCGTATGTCCGGAGGACTCATCTACTTGCGTGACCTCAAGCACTTCACGCCTAGTGACTTAAAACCTCCCTCCCCTCCGACCACGCTCATCTGGACGTCTGCTCCTGTTATCCCACAGCTCTGCTCTCAGTGAGCCCTAAAACCGAGCTCGTCCTCACCCCACCCCACGGCTCCCCCTTCTGTGCTGTCTCAGTGAATGGCGTCATCTTCTGCCCTGGAGCCCACCCCATGAAACAGCCACTGAAATACCATGGGGCTCTGTGGGCAGGCGGGGCCCCACCTCACTGCCGTCTTTCCTTTTTTTCTCTTCCTTCAGGAAGAGTAGCCTCAGCCTTGCTTCAAATTCAAGAGGACTGCTGTGAGCAGAACCGTAGGAGCAGGTCTCCTGGGCCTCAGTCTCTGTCCTCGGCGCTTGGTGCCTCCCTGCAGTTTAGCAGAAGGCGCTGCCCTCTCAGGTCGGCGTCTCCAGTGACGACTCCTATGGGACGGCCTGGGCTCCAGGACGCCCACCTGCCATCTGCCCGCGGCTCACAGAGCATCTCAGGCCTGTGACCCTCACCACACCAGCTTCCAGCAAGCTTTGAGCCACAAGGCACCCCAGGGGCAGTGTTCCTGCCAACAAGAAGCCCGGGCCTAGCCTTGAGACTCCCGTAGGGAGGGACACGCGCACGCAGTCCCCTGGTCCCGAAGCTCCAGCAGACATCTGCTGAACACTAGAGAGGCTGAGATGCCACGAGGGGAGGCAAAGCGGAGACAGACGACGTGCTACAGACACACAAGGGGATACAGAGACCTGCCCAGGAGAAAGGAGAGGACGGTGAGCGAGCCACGAGGAACAGGAGGTTCCCAGCCTTCTGCTCTGTCACATGAGCCCACGGCACTGCTGCTACACCGAGCCCCGGAGGTCAAGTGTTTCTCTAACACAGGTGCTCCACGCAGCAGTTTTTCCAAAACCCTATCTTATTAAAGCACAGGCACTGGAGTTTTCTCAAGGCCATGTCTTTGGGGAAAAGACCTACTAAGGGTTGTTGTTTACAACACAAAGGGAAAAAAAACAAAAGGTTTACCTCATAGAGTCTGCGGGATGTGACTGGACAGCCTTCTCAGACCACCCCTGGAATCTGCCGAGGAGGAGGGAGGTGTCCAGTGTCACTGAAACTGGCCGCTGCCCCAGCCACATATCCCTTGCTGCATTTCCTGAGACCAGGGTCCCCATATGGGAGCTGGCTTCCTCCTTTCCTTCACAAAGACACAAAGCTGAGACTGTAGAGGGGGCCAGGGCCCAGGCAGTGGCTTATAGTGGCCTGGGCCTGGGATGAGCTGGGAGCTCAGGACGGGGTCAGAGGAGCTGTGTGGCCAAAAGCCCGAAAGTAACTGCTCAGCACAATAAACATTTGCTGAGTGGACAAGAGAATGTATCACCCACCTGCTAAACAGGAGCAGCTTTAGTGGTCCCTCAGCTTTCCCCTCAGTGTCTGCCATGCTGGTCTTACCTGCCCTGCCATCCCTGTCTCCTCGGCCTCACAACCTGCTCTGTGCCCAGGGAACTTGGCTCCTGGCCTCCACAGCTGGGGTGAAGCAAGCCCAACTGGAGGAGGCCAGCTAGGGTGAGGAGCCAGGACTTTGTAGACTGCTTCCATCCTTTGTTGTTGTTGATACTCTTTTTGGGAAAAGGTTTCACCGTGCAGTTCAGGCTGGCCTCACTCACAGCAATCCTCCTGCCTCAGCCTCCCAAGTGCTGGGATCACAGGCATGTGCCACTATGCCCGGCTTGCTTCTATCTTTTGCCATACATGATTGGTTGGCTTGTTTAATAAACTGGAGCCTCTGATTCTTTGGGGACTTTGTGTTCAAGACGGTGCGGCTATGTGGTCCCAGCCGGCCCTAAACCCCGCGGCCAGAGCAGTCGTCCTACCTTAGCCTCCTGAAGAGCTGGACATTCCCTTCCAATGGATGTGTTCGGCGCTGCATACCTTTAGGGTGGCATGGGGGTTGAGTGGATAACACCCTGTGCCGTGGCAAGGGCGCCCTTGGCACTCCTGACTCATGCGGAACACTCGCTTCCAACCAACCCCATCCCGCCTTGCCCCATCCTCCACCAGAGGTCACTTGTGTCTTTCCCTTTGATGTGCCTTGATGTTGTGGGGAGTGTGATCTGACTCACCAGACCCTACTGCCAACTCAGGCTCTGCTAGGCCAGCGGCCTCAACAAGCACTGTTCAGGCAGTGCAAACAGCACGCATCCCAAACAGGCCTCATTACCTGCTCCCCACAGCAAAAATGTTTGACAACCATCTAACACTTGGGAGCCAGGGGTGGTGGCGCACACCTGTGATCCCAGCACTTAGGAGGCTGAGGCAGGCAGACTGCTGTGAGTTCAAGGCCAGCCTGAACTACATAGTGAGCTCTTGTCTCAAAACAAAAAAGCTAAAGGTATTACACTACTTGACCTCAAATATACTATACACAGCA